CTTCTTCTTCTTCTTCTTCTTCTTCTTCTTCTTCTTCTTCTTCTTCTTCTTCTTCTTCTTCTCCTCCTCCTCCTCCTCCTCCTCCTCCTCTTCTTTCTCTCTCTCTCCTCTTCTCTCTTCTCCTCCTTCCTTCTTTTGGTGTGTGTGTGTGTATGTTTTTATTTAATGTAGTGTGAGACATGCCCTCCCCCATATTGGTTCTTATTTTGACTTTTTCTTTTCCTTCAAAAGATTTTCCTTCTAAAATCTACTACTTTTAAGACTGGGGAAAGAACGTGACATCTGAGTTGCTGCCTCTTCATAGGATAGGATTTTCTTCCTTGACTCATTTGCCAGTTGTTAACTTAGAATAACAGTTTTTAGCATATCTAGGAGGATTGGGTAAACTGAGGTGAAAGCTGAATGAAAGAGCCTCTGTTCTTGCCCCCCTAGGAGGTAAAAAAAAAAAAAGGCCAGCAGTGGCAAGAGCAGATGTTTGGGCTCAGGAATTGGAATGTAGAAACCCCCTTCTCCAGCTTTACAGTGCTGGAGATCCTGGATTGCTGGGTTGTTGATATTTACATGGAAGAGGATCTGGACTAGAACTGAGGGCTACATGAGATCACCAGAGCCTCGAACCTTGAACTTTGTCTCGTGCCAATGTGCGTGGGTGTGGATAGACTGTATTTTAAAATATAAGAAAACTTACTCTAGGAGTTATTGGACATTTTGTTTGAAAAAATACAACTGTTTATTATTTCCTTGGGACCCCACTTTAGAAGCCTCTTGGCCTCCATACGTACCATTCTGATATTTCAAAGTAAAACATGGGTTACTGAATATTTATCTACTGCAATAACTGCATTTTCAAAACTCAGCTAATGCCGTCATCCTTATTTTGAACCTCTCAAGCATGCAGGTTTTTGTTTTGAGTTTGATGGCATGCAGTTTCAACACTGCTATTTGTTTTTTGCTTTCTTTTTCTTCCAGAAGTAAACTCAAAGAGAAACTGCTTTAAGAATTTCATCAAGTAATAGAGTTACACCCCCTCTTTCTTTGTTAAGACTTAAATTTCTAAGTGCCCTAGAAGGGATTAAGACTTTTATTAGATTATTTACATGACAGATACTTATGGTATTTGTGCTTAGTTTCTACTGTTTTTTGTGGATAAGGATAAGTAAGAATTTGTCCACTGTTTCACTAATTCCATTTATGTGAAAATGTCAAAATTTTCTACTTTGTAGTGCCAAAATAAATGATTGCTTCATTATAATCTTGCAATTTTTAAAATAATTCTAAAATGGTACAAAGAGAGTATCTTTAAGCAGAACTACTTTACATGAGTGGGGTGGTGGCTGTTTATTTGAGAAAGGAAATTTCAGTTTACCATATCAAAATTTTCCTTTAAGATAGCAAAAACATTGTCCTTTTAACAAATGATTGATAAATTTGGAGGCAAATGATCTGACGGAGTCTAAAAAATTTGAAAAGATACATTTCTGTAAGTTATGTGTCTGATGAGTATTTAAGTTTCTTGGCTTTGGATTGACAACATGTATTGAATGTTTTGCCTGCATATGTGTATACTATGTTCATGCCTGATGCTCATGGAGACCAGAAGAGGGTGTTGGATTCCATGGAATTGGAGTTACACATAATTTTTAGCCACCATGTGGGTGCTGGGAACTGAACCCAGGTCCTCTGCAAGAGCAACAAGTGCTTTTGGCCACTGAGCCAGCTCTCCAGCCTTGAACCTGTTTTCATGTTTTTCCTGAATATTATAAAAATCAGCAATATTATGTGGTTAATTGTTCTGCTAGTGATCTAGAACAACAATAATGAGCAATGTTATAGCACAAGACTTCATGTATTTCTCAGCATTATTGGAAAACCAAATTGTAAAATGTTTACTCATCTCTGCCCTAATACACAGGAGTAATACTTGCTTCTCAAGGTTAGAAATAAAATCAAATGTACTAGACTTTGCAGTGGATTCTTTTTTTTTTTTTTTGTTTCTTTGTTTTTGGGTCAGAGTTTCTCTGTATACCCCAGCTGTCCTAGAATTCACTCTGTAGACCAGGCTGGCCTCGAACTCAGAGCTCCGCCTTCCTCTGCCTCCCAAGTGCTGAGATAAAAGATGTGTGCCACTACCACCTGGCTGCCGTGGATTCTTGATTGTAACTACAAAATGGATAGCTGACGGGAATGCTTAAGTTGTCTTAGGTACTACCTTACATTTTCTGGATGATAATTTCATCATTATGTTTTTTTCAGAGATGGAAATGCAGATACGGAGAGTTAAGCAACTTCTCCAGTGTCACACAGCTCCTAAGCCACAGAGTTTTAATGCAGTGAAAGCTGCTTATATTTAAACTCATGTGTAAAAAAAAAGTACATGCTGGCAATAATTCAGAGCAGTTAGTAGGCATGAAGACATACATTTGAACATGACCTTAGATGTTAGGAGAATGAGTAAGTCCTACCGGTTGAGAAGAACTGCCTGGGCATGCCCATATGTGGGAATAGCAAAATGGGGAGCCAGGCTAGAGGAGGGATGCTGTGTTTATAAGTGAATGGAAGTAAGTGGGGTATGTGGCTTATTCATTCAAGGCTAGGGAAGTAGAGAAGACACAGGTACATTTGGGAAAGCCTATCCTGATATTTTTTAGGTGACATTTCAGGCCTTCATTTTGTTTTTCTTGGTGGAACCATCTAGCAAGGATGTAGCTTCCAGTTGTCAACAGAAAGGGAATTCCACATGTTCATATTTTATTTCTTAACACTTCCTAATTGAGCTTAACATCTCTTCTTAATTTTTTTTTGAGACAGGGACTCATCACATAGTCCAGATAAGACTCGAACTCATGATCCTCCTACCTCAGCTGCCCAAGTGCCGGGACTACTGGAGGTTTGTGCCACCACATTTGGCTTTGTACTCCCTCATTTGTTTAGAATTGTGCCCATTATTGCCATGATGTCATGTAGTAGCATATGTATATATGTATACTACTTATATACTTCATATACTGTATGTATTATAGCAATTTAGTTTTCAATGCCTTGTAAATTTATATTTAGAAGAAAATGGTAGATTGAATCCTTTGTCAACATAACAATAAATTTCAGTTAAACTTTTAACAAAAAAACAACATTGACCTCTTGTTGAAATTGTTAGAATGATGATAGAAAGGTTTAGTTGGCTTAGGAGAATTTTCCACTTAACCCTTTCTCCAAGATCCTTACTTGAATTGCATTTTATGTCTTCTATGCATTCTGTGTGTGTTGGTGCAGACACTTGAAGGTTATAAACCATCTATAGGTGGTTTCTGAGGATTTCATTAGGGGATGGCATATGCAATGATTACTCTCTCTTTCTCTCTGTTTCTCGTATAGCTACTAAAATGAAGCAAATTTTATGGTGGTACTTACAATTAATAAAAGGAAGTGAATAAGATGAACACTCCTGATCACCAAATCACGACTCACTAGTCATTATTTTATTCATTTATAATAGGTATGTAGAGCAGCAAGCCACTGTTCTTTGTCATGTGGTTCTTAAGGAATTTTATCTTGCTGTTCTATCTTTGTAAGTATAAATTGAACATGGACTTGAAATATGCTTTGGTGCTGTCAAGCTCTGTCAGAGTGGTATTTATTTCAAGTTATTCATAATCTAATTAGAAGGTCAAAATCAGAAACCATCAAATGAATAGGAATACTTTTTGGAAACTCCAAGCAGTGAAGAATCGTGACTTTCAGGTGTCAAATGCAAAGGCTGAATGACGATCAGTACCCTCAATCTGGTACCTAGTACTTGAAAGCTGATATCCCTGTAACAGTAGTAAAGCTGTTGGAATCATTTGTCCCAGCTTAAAATGTAGCACAAATATTTTCTGTCCAAGTACTAATCAGGTCCCATTCTGCTTAGCTTCCGAGATCAGATGAGATTGGATGCGTTCAGGGTTGTATGGCCATAGACAGGAAACATAGCAATGGTGGTGGTCCTTGTGCATTTGAAAGGCTCACAGTTATTCTATGGCAGAATGTATTATGAAAGGTAAGTAAGAGTCATAATCTCATAGATGAAAAGGGTCACGTGAATTTATCTTTAGCATAAAGACTTGTTATTCTGTTGAGGAAGAATAATAACCTTAAGGTCAATCCTCCTTTTAGCATGGCCTATGTTAAAGTCTAGACACGGTCAGGCTGAGTGTTCTAATTCTTTGTGGCTAGTCTCAGATTTTTTTTTTTTTTTGGTTTTTCGAGACAGGGTTTCTCTGTGTAGCTTTGCGCCTTTCCTGGAACTCGCTTTGGAGACCAGGCTGGCCTCGAACTCACAGAGATCCGCCTGCCTCTGCCTCCTGAGTGCTGGGATTAAAGGCGTGCGCCACCACCGCCCGGCCTCAG